TCCGAATATACGAATATATGAATATATGAATATCCGAATATTCGAATATCCGAATATCCGAATATATGAATATCCGAATATCCGAATATCTGAATATCTCTAGAAACTGATCAGAATATACATTACTTAGCAAAACAACGTTTGCCGGGTCAGCTAGTTAATATATATTTATGACGAGTACTTCATTTTAATTTTTATAATATTATAAAATACAGGTAAAGCTTGAGAATAAGATAATTCCAAATTAAATTTCTGTGAAAGTTACTTATTCTGCATGTGTTACCAATAAGATGGAAAATACTAAGATATCACAAACTAGAACTCGCGGAGTTGCAATCTGTAAAATCGATTTTTGTATTGCAATCAAGGCGTTGGCTCTCTTCCGTAGGTAGCGTGTTTTAGTATTGACAAAAAGCTGCAATTTTTGGTTAGAAATGTATACCAATATTGAAGCAATACTGCAATGACAAGTCCCAAATGTGTTGAATTCAAATGTTATGCAAAATATGCCTTCATTTCCTTAAAAGATCATTTGTATATGTGGTCTCATTGCTGCGTGTTAAATTATATTCTATAAAAAAATGCATGACGTTCCTCGTGGTTTACCGCAAGCTAAACTAAATTTTATTTTTGTTATTTATTTCTATGAAAAGTACATGCATTCAAAGTACATTAGTATTGATTAGTAATATTATACGCAGTCACCTTAAGTTATTTTTTTTTTGTATTAAATCATCTGTAATAAATTAGTTACATTATGAGACTTCCAAACCTATAATGATTTGTAGTCAGTATTGGTTCGAGTACTTTCATTTTTATAAATTCAAGTACCGCATTGACGCAATTACGATTTAAATTATGAGGTTTCTAATAAGACAAATAAAACATTTGATTAAACTATATATTGTATATTTATATAAGCAATAAGCAGAATAATTTCTAAGTTCTAATCTTATTATTGGTGTATGTATTACATAATTAACTTCCCGTAGGGCAAGTTATAGTAATCGCAAAAAAATCGAAAATGAAGATTTTTATATATTTTTACGTTTCAGAGGTTTCTGAATCTTTTGGCATACCTTAGAAAAAATGGATGTATGTGTGTGTGTGTGTGCGTGTGTGTATGTGTGTTCGGATACAAATTTTCGTCGACGATTTCGGGAACACGGATGAAGCGATTTGAATAATTCAAAAAACATTCGATTCGTATTGATAAGGAGACGTGCTGATTAGTTTTTGGCGAAGGCAGGTCTAGCCGTTCCGAAGATATGGGGCGAAAAGTGCCAAAAACGGTAACGCAGTTTTTAAGAGAATGGAGCGTCCGATTTGAATAATTAAAAAAGCATTTTACTTGTATTAACAAGGTGAAGAACTGATCAAATTTTCATGAAGGCAGGTCTAACGGTTTCGGAGATCTAGTAAAAAAATTTAAAAAAAAATGCCATTTGGCGGTCAAAAATGATCATTAGACATATGCACATCAAATTATCATATATTTTATAGAGATTTTAACAATAAGTATAAATTTTGTTTACATTCCTATGGGTTCCGTACCAATGTTTACGCGTTAGACGGCGGCGCGGCGCTTACCCGCTTCGATATGAAAAAAGTTCAGAATTTCCAAAATATTTCAAAATACAATTTTCTTCAAAAAGTCTTATTTTCAAAAAAATAATTTTTTGTCAAAAATTTATAGTTTCTCAAAAATCTAATTTTCCAGAGTAATTTTTTTGCAAAAATGTTAATCTTTAAAAAAAAAATCTTTGGTACGGGAAGTTCTAGCAATTTGCCTTAAGGCACGATGCCATGCGCCCCACTAGTTTAATATCATATTCTAACTTTCTTGATTTATCTAATTCATTAATTTGATTTATATTTATAGGATTTTTGTTATGTTTTTGTCCTTTGTTATTCCATGCGTATTACGCCGTTGCATCCCTGCGGCGTCGGACTTTTCGCGTCTGCGCCAAAAGGTCGGAAAAGCCAGACTTTCCTCCGCATGTTCGATCCGCCTCGTAAAACCTCGCCCGCTCGATAAAAATATGCCAATGTTTCAATAACTTTCTTTATATAGAATAAAATTTATGTGTAAGCAACAATGATACTATAAGCCCTTTATAGTTTGATACTACTTCAGTTAATTGAAGATCATTCTTTTTGATATGACCTGCGACTTATTTTTCTTTTTATATTTTCCTTTTACTTACTAATTTATTTTCACTTAACTTAGTTAAACGTACGTACTAAGTAACGACACTTAAAATTCCCATACAACAACTAAGGAATTTCTAAATTTACTGGAAACTATATAGCATTTTCATTTAGATTATTTTATTTTATTTATTCATTTTATTTATTTTTATTTATCATATAGCCCATAGAGTAGCTCCAGGAAGACTTAAAAATACAATTTTAATAATACATATTATAATAATACAAGTATACTAATATATAATATAACAACATATAATATAATATAATTAATAACATAACAATACATAACACAAAATAAAAAAACTATCAAATTCTTAACGGTAAAACTAAATTATATATGATGGAAATAACATATTCGTTACAAAATATCAAGATTGGCTTGTGCAGATGGTAATTAATTGTTTTACTGAAGTATTGTGAATATCGATATCTTTATTAATTGAGTTGAAATTAGAGGACATTAGCACTATAGCTGAGTTTAATAGAGCATTAGTTTTAGGAGTAGGATATTTGAAAAGCATTTGAGAGTCTAGGAACGTTAAAGGATAGTTGGTTTAGAATTTGAGGATTATGCTATTTAAAATATTTCTATATGATTCATGAAAAAAGTCTTACAAATTTATGCCATCACATTTTTTTATTAAATAAGAAATTCCACCATGCAACAAGCATGCGATGAGATCATTTTTTAAAAACTTGATTATATGTTTGTATATTATATATGTCGATGATTGTATGTCTAAGTAGATAATACTAAATTACATGATATATAATTAGCCAAGACTACTTTTTGTTGCATTACGAATATTGAATAGTCAAGGAACTTACGTTATTATATATTTTTTGTGTCCATCTTAAGATATAGGGTCTTATAGTCTGCCACCTTCATCAATCTTTGGCTTTATTCAGACTTGTATTCCTCCTCCTGCTGCTCCAGCCTCTCTATATTCCTATTTTCAATAAGGGAGTATATCAACACAATGTACAAAATGTATAGATGGTAGATACGAATCTTCACAAACCCGAAAGAAGGTCAAGGCTTAAGGTTTCAAGGGCTTTTACGTGTAATTCTATAGGGCTGCTTAATGTGCTGGGAATTTTCAAACAGATATGAAAGTTTTACTTTACATCAATATTTTTAATATAGTCATTTAATCTAAGATGTTGATTTTAATCGTTATTAATTGTTTAATCGAAAGATGAAGCATTATAATTTTTTACATTATTAGAATGTCGACCAACTACAAATATGATCAGTTTGTGTTTTATAAGAAAATCAGATAAAGGATAATTGTAATGCCTTTATTTTCTTCTAGGATTTAAAAGTTTTATTAGAAATTTTATTGCAATCTGGAAATGAAATAATGTTTTAACAAAAAAACTAGACTTTATTTATTTTTTCCCCATTATTTGGTGCAGTGTAGTTCCAGAAAAGAAAAATGATAGATAAAACAAACTGCAAACTTTTTATGTTTTTTAAGATTTTAATAAACTGTTAATAGCAGAATAAATTTCGTATTTTTATTTATACATTCCCAAAATCTTTATGCAATAGTAAAGATATTTTTCTTTAATAGTGAAATTGTAACTAACTAAATATCAGGATAACGCAATCTTCCTACAATCACTTTGAGAAAGATTATGATTGCTTACTACTATGATTCATACTTTATTAATAAATCATATACGTTAATATGTGTGGTTCACATATAAAACTTGTATCTCATAATTATAAAGAAAATTGAGAAATTTTGTAGTACTCAATTATTTTTTTTTAGATTAATAAAGGTTTGAAATATTAACGTGACAGATTTTTTGGTATTTTAATTCGATCTAAATACTTTATCAATATCTATGTCATCTTACAATTTGAAATAATTTATATATTTTATTTTAAATTTGATTATAATTTAATTATTTATGGTTTAATTGTTAAATGATTAAATCAATGTTTTGTTGATCAAATAGTTCTTAAAATATAATCGATTTATTAATAAACCATTTTGTATTACACAATTTATTTATTCAAATTTAATATTTTGTTATATTCATTATATTTAATATAGTTACTTATGCAAACATTATTTTACAAAAGTACATATGTAACTCATATTTTCTGGTTGACTAATTACATGCAATGAATTTTTTAAAATTCAAACTAAATATGGAATGTATATGTATATAACTATGACAGCGAATCATATTAGGTAAATATGAATATTACAAATATGTAACAAGTAGCAAGCCTTATTACTCATTTGATACATTATTTCAATTAACATTTATAAATTAGAGTAATTATACAGCATAATAATATTATTTATTATGCTGTATCTCGAAGGTTTATGGATTCGTCGTTTATGCTCATCGCTTTTGTCCTGAATTAATGAAACATCGACTTGTAGAAATATATTTAGATTTTGGGACGAGATGCTAAATTATATCAAGAAAAGTTAACGTTTTAGAAAATATTTCAACAGAGAACTTTAGATACTCTTACAATTAAGCATGTGGTTTACTAATAATTATATACTATGGTGCATTTGTTCCATATCGCACACATGTGCTCTTCTTGATCAATGTATGTAAATTAATAACTGCTAACACTATACAAAATAACTTGATGTTTATCGAATGACGGTGATTTTCTTCGACTATAATGTACTGTTGTTTTCTCTATTATTAAAAGTAAATTATGATTTTTTTTAATCCTATGGCTATTTTATTAAATTTGAGTAAGACCCAGAATAAGTTTTCCTTCATTTTGTCATATTTTTTCTCCACAGGGCAAAGTATACCTATTCGATAAAGTATTTAAGCCCAATGCAACACAAGAAAAGGTATACAATGAGGCTGCCAAGAGCATCGTCTCAGATGTATTGGCTGGATACAATGGAACTATTTTTGCATACGGTCAAACTTCCTCCGGAAAAACACATACCATGGAAGGTGTCATAGGTACTTGATCAAAATATATTGAAAACTTTCTTCATTTAAAAAGCAAAGCTCTTCATTGAACTTAATTAATGTTTTGCAGGCGATCCTGGTAAGCAAGGTATCATCCCCCGCATTGTCAACGATATCTTCAACCATATATATGCGATGGAGGAAAATTTAGAATTTCATATAAAAGTTTCATATTTTGAAATTTACATGGATAAAATAAGAGATCTATTAGATGGTAAGTTTATTGAATTTAATAAGGTTTATAAAAACATTGATATTATGAAAGATTGCTACAAATATGTCGGTTGTTTTTTCAGTATCAAAGGTAAATTTGAGCGTGCATGAAGACAAAAACAGAGTTCCTTTTGTGAAGGGTGCCACTGAGCGATTTGTTTCAAGTCCCGATGAAGTTTTCGAAGTAATTGAGGAAGGAAAATCAAATCGTCACATTGCAGTCACAAGTAAATAATATTCATTAGCAAATATTATTTTATTTTCATAATTTTATATTATGATGTATCTTTGTAGACATGAACGAACACTCCTCTAGATCACATTCGGTGTTTTTAATTAACGTTAAACAAGAAAATTTAGAAAATCAAAAGAAGCTATCTGGAAAACTATATCTGGTAGATTTAGCCGGTTCCGAAAAAGTTTCAAAAACCGGAGCCGAGGGTACCGTTTTGGACGAAGCTAAAAATATTAACAAATCACTATCAGCCCTCGGAAATGTTATATCTGCTTTGGCCGATGGCAATAAAACGCACATTCCTTATCGAGATTCGAAACTGACCAGGATTCTTCAAGAGTCTCTCGGAGGTAACGCTAGGACGACCATTGTGATCTGCTGTTCGCCGGCTAGTTTTAACGAATCCGAAACTAAGTCGACATTAGATTTCGGAAAGAGGTACATATATTAAAAATGAGTGTAAATTTTTAAAACTGCATTTCAATTAAATTTACTTTTTTCAGAGCCAAGACTGTGAAGAACGTTGTATGTGTGAACGAAGAATTGACTGCTGAAGAATGGAAGCGTAGGTACGAGCGCGAAAAAGAAAAGGTCGTCCGACTCAAAGGCAAGGTTGAAAAACTTGAAGAAGAATTGGCACGTTGGCGTGCTGGTGAAACGGTTAATCCTGACGAACAAATCAATTTACAAGATGTTATGGAAGCATCCACGCCAGGAACCGGTTTAGATGCAAATGCAGCCGCGGCGGGTGATCTTCCTGTGCCCGCCACTCCAGCCGGAGTCGTACTGGTAATTATTTTTAAAATCGTATTTAAAGGTCTTCATTTCTAATCAACTTTTCTAAATCTATTCAATGGGTTAATTTATTAGATTAAAAATGGTTTAATTTGTTACAGGGACAAACTGTGATGAATATGAGCATAACTAATGAGGAACGAGCTCGATTTGAGTCAGAAAGAGAACGTCTGTATCAACAACTTGATGATAAAGATGAAGAAATTAACCAGCATTCACAATATGTTGAGAAGCTTAAGGAACAAATTTTGGAGCAAGAGGATCTCATTGCCTGCACGAGGTAGGATTTTTGTATTATCAGCATTATCATGTGAGGTTGAATATTATTATGGATCATAATTGTAGACAAACATTATGGACCATAATTGTAGACAAACTCATGCTAGTATTTTGTTAATGTTAGGTTCACGAGCTATTCTGTCTTTTATTTTAGGCGAGATTATGAATCTCTTCAAGGTGAAATGAATAGGATTCAGCAAGAAAATGAAAGCGCGAAAGAAGAAGTCAAAGAAGTATTACAAGCTCTTGAAGAGTTGGCTGTGAACTATGATCAAAAAAGCCAAGAAGTTGATTCTAAAAACAAAGAATTTGAATCAATCACCGAAGAATTATTACAAAAACAATCAGTACTAAACACAACATCTACAGAATTGCAACAATTAAAAGATATGTCAGCTCATCAGAAACGTAGAATTACTGAAATGTTGACAAATCTTTTACGAGATTTGAGCGAAGTTGGTGTAGCTATCGGCGGAGAAGGTGCTGATATGAAGGTGGGACAGAGCTTATGTTGTTTGGTTTATTAACAATTTACAATTCTAAACATCGTACTTTAATTTGTAAATATAAAAATATTTTGTAATTTTTTTTTCTTGTGTTGTATTTATATATTGGGATGTGGTCACTTGTTTATCTTAATATATTCATAATTATATTACTGTTTACTTATTTTTATTTTAATCATGCATTAATACTATTTAATTTTTCATAAGAATGTTGTTCATGAATATTTGCTTGAATCTGGATCAGTACTGATGTGATTGATTGAATGGTATGATTGTGGATAAAAGCAAGGTAAATCATTTTATTTGTCATTATTATTATCTCATTAAGCATTATATTATTGCATAAGATAATATTTAAATATATTACTGAAGATACTAAAATTATAAGATTTTTTATATTCTATTCTTTTTTATATTCTAAACAAAATTAATTACAGATAAATGCAGATAGCGCCGGAAAACTTGAAGAAGAATTTACTGTTGCGCGTCTTTTTATTAGCAAAATGAAATCAGAAGCTAAGAATCTCTCCCAGAGATGCCAGGGTCTCGAGACCACTCAACTGGACTCAAACAAGAAAATTACAGAATATGAAAGAGATTTGGCTGACTGCAGGTTGTTGATAAGTCAACATGAGGCAAGAATGAAAAGTTTGCAAGAATCGATGAGAGAAGCAGAAAACAAAAAGAGAACTTTAGAGGAGAACTTGGATGCTCTAAGAGAAGAATGTGCAAAGTTGAAGGCTGCAGAACAAGTGTCTGCGGTTAGTGTAGAAGAGAAAGAAAAGGCAGCACAACTAAGAGAAGCCTTGGAAGGTCAGATGGATCATTTGAGAGATGCCCATCAAAAACAGGTGGCTATGTTAAGAGATGAGATTTCAGAGAAGCAAGAGATGATCAATGAATTGAAAGAGTAAGTATCAATTATTATCTCTATAATGAAATGAATTTTAATATTTGTTTTTATACTTGCAGTTCCAACCAAAAACTTACTTTGGCTCACCAGCAGATGACCGCTGATTATGAGAAGCTTCGACAAGAGGAAGCCGATAAATCAACGCGACTTCAAGAATTAATGTCAGTAAAAAATAATTTTATTTCATCATCTCTTCCATGCTCACCTAATCGTAATCTTATAAAAAAATCTAAACTGCCCTATTTTAATATCCCCTTGACAAAATCTTGCAAAAATGTTCTAAATTCTACGACCAAGGTTACACAAACAAATTCTGCCTGTGTGCCTGTTTCCAACAGCAGTTATAAGACCTACAGCTATTACATAAATACCTTACATTTGCATTTACTATTATCAATTACCATGATTTTGGTCACAAAAGATTGTCCACATTACTTGATAGAGTTCTAAGAAGCTTTTATTGGTAAATGAAACAGTATTTTACGCATATTAAGTATATTGCTTATAAATTTACAAAACTGATATGCAACAATATTAACGTTTTCTTTAAGTAATTATTTTTATACATATTTTCTAATGTGATATTTTTATAGTATAATTGCTTTTAACCATGAGCCGTTGAAAGTTTAGTGCAATAAATTATATAATGTAGTGAACATTTTATGAGCAATGAAGTTCATAAAGTACTTTAAAATTTGATACAAAAATGTGCCTAGTCTTCGCTAATAATATTTGAATGTAATTTAAATTTTCGGTGTATAAGGAACAAGAAGTATTTTAAGAAACTGTCACATATCATTGAGTGGCAATATTGTTTTAACGCTCAATCATTACAAATTTAATTATATTGTAAATGATATAGCTAAGTATTATGCTTTTATTTGTGATATTTTTTGTTACGTAGACGCTCTGTATGTCATTATCTTGCTCATTAACTTAACAAAAAGTAGCAGTACCTGTAAGATAAAAAAATTAGTAGATTGAACAAAATAGTAACTATTGTGCTAGAAATAGTGTGCAAGAACGCAATATCGGCATACAAAGTGTCAATTAAACTTTATGTCTGTACTGCTGT